GATCAAAGCCGGATTCACGTTGTGTGCCAGTCAGTTGTGATTCGACAGCAGTATACCGTACGTGTTATCCAATTTGAAGAAACAGGCTGTTTGGGGGGGGTCTACGATGATTCGCCGACTCGGAAACGCACAGACGTTCGCGTATCGTCGCTCGAGTAGTGAGTACGGTATGCCCAAGTGTGTGAAATTTCCCGAGGTTTTCACCGCGAAGACTCGCGACGTTTAGCGCCCAAAACATTCCACTCGCCGCTCCGTCGCGATAAAATTGCCATCGCCAAAGTTAAATCCTGTTAGAACGGGTTGTAGGCATAGGAGACATCGGAAAACGTAGCCGACCGTGTGTAACGATACGAAATAACGTGCGTACATGCACATACCTGTATATGAAATGGGCGCCGCAAATGTTTTAACGAAACAATCGTCACGCACCGCCAAAAAGGTATTATGACAATATAACAATATAATATTACAATGCGAGTAACCGTATTATACATCATGTGCGTGTCGTTGATAAACCGTGCGCAAAACACAATGCGTTTTCGGCTGTTTATCGTCGATAAAACGTTTTGCACATCCCAACGAATTCGGATCCTGTTAATATAAAAGCGCGTCGTGGGCTGCACAGTCGTTTAGGTGTGCGCCATGACACATAGTTGTGTACTATTTTCCCGCGGTTCCCCTCTGAGCGTATGAATATAGTCACCTACTACTTATTACGGCGCACTTTGATGTTATTGTGTAACGTGCGCGGTGTACCGTACAATGGTAGGTATGTACCATACAAGGGTCGGGTTCGAAAATATACCATATACCGTTGGGTACACGGCGGTATACGACGCGCATACCGCGGTTGCAAAACGTAAATGTTCGTCGACGATCCGTCCGAAGTCGACAAACATGATGTGATATCTATTTATCGTTATAATACCGCGATAATCGCAAGCAGCTCACAACTATAACGCAATAATGCGAAAACACACGCCATTGGATTGTCGTGAAATTATTTAAAATCGCATCCGCATTATTATGTGTATTGTTACATAATAAGCGAAAAAAAGTTAAGGCGAGATAAAATAAATCGATCCAAACGCGAATTTCTGTTTCAAAACATGATGGTTGACAAAAAAAACAAATAAATAACACATCATTGTAAAATCAATACATTGTCCTAACTAATCGGTAATCACTTCACTTGTAATCTAAAACCGAATTAAACTTTATTTATAGGTGTATTGAAATATTACACACCTAGTGCAATTAAATATTATATTTTAAATACGACGTAGGCATGACCATGCATAATAACATTGTATCTGGGTATTTTTTTAATGACGATAATATTTAGTCGGCATTAAGTTATTCGTCGCACTAATATATTATCATTATGTATTATACATTTGAACAGTCGATTAACCCAAACAAAAAACTCGTCATCGCGTACTTACTTATAATTAAAAAAAACCTTTACCAACACACATTTTCAAAATGTTGCTCGAAACAAAATAGATATTTATGAATTGACTTTTGTATACTTTTTTCGTTTTGCAGTCTAAAAACATGGTCTGTTTTTTTTCCGGTTTGAAGCATTCACCGTTTCTCTACATGTGCACGTATACGTGTGTAATACAATCTCCGGATATAATATATTATAATGTATGAAATATAAAATAAGTTCGTTTGAATTTCGTACCACATGGAAACCTCGAATTTCTCCAACACACAATTGTTATTATGATGACGACACGATGAATGGGTAAGCACAATAAAAAAACATAATAAGAAAAAGACGCAACTGGATTTGAATATAATACTGCTCAAAAGTGATATGGGTTAGGGAAGAGGACACATTCTCAAAATGAAATTAACTTGGTAAAGAAGTTGACTGGATGCATGCGCGAGGACTCTTGACTTTAATAATCATCCCGACTTCACCAGTACCGTCTTACCGTATTTACACTCAATATTTTCAACGGTATAACATGTTGGTAATAAAATCTAAAGTTTAATAACGTACAATTTCAATGGACTGAATAAAAATAGAAATTAAATTAAATAATACATTGCCTTAAATTGCATAACTTTTTATTTGGGCTACAGCTAAAAATACACAATATTGATTTACTTATGAAACACAATAATACGTGAGTTTCTGACATATGTACCTAATAATAATCTGACTACGTATAATATAATGAGCAAAGAGTATTATTAAATTAATAAAATTAAAAATATGTATATTAATAATTGAATCAACTATTCGCTCGTATTTATAATTAAAAACAAACTCGCTTGAATTTGAAACAATTAAAAACACACGAGATTTGAAAAATCGAATTTACAATTATTATCAATTACCTACTGAAATTAATACCCACATAATTTTGGTCTTCCTAAAATCTATTCTTCACTTATGTCAATATTAGACATCGATAGACTGAATATATAGGTACACAAACAACTAAATATACTTAGATCACGTTTTTTACCATCTTGTAACGCAATGATGAACATAGAATTGTTACCGATTTTATTAGGTGTTGAACGATTTGTATACTATAAATATATGTTTAAAAAAATACCTGTGTACATTCTATTCACCTATATTTATTATTAACTTTACCTGAGTATTTTTAATACACGTTAAGCACTATGTATTTAATCCATATTTATTCGTATTAAAATGTTCAGTTGGAAAGTGCTTATTCTCCGAATCCAATATGCCTGTATAGAACACTGAGTATGTATTAAAGTACTAGGATTTATTTTATTTCATATTTTCTTGTATATACTTTTTTCTTAGAAAAGAACCAACAAAACAATACATCTATTGTATAACGAATGTATAATGAATGATGGTTTTCTTTTTTAAATAAGATGTGTTAACGGCGTTACAAATATTATCTAAAAATTTAAATCTAAAATACCTTTTTTTAATTTAGGTTGGGGGAAATCTATTTTATTCATATTGTGGTATTATAAACGTTATGGATAGACCGTTTAAATTAAAAACGAAACAAATAAATAACTATCGGCCAACACAGTACTGTAACAATATGATGTATGACCTCATGAGATACTCAATGTGCAACGTTCTATGATTATTGTTGGTCAACTAGCATAGAAAAATGTTTCGTTTCTAGTTTTCTGAGCCGTCCATTAAAAAACCCTGTATAATGCAGTAAAAATGGAATTTTTTTAGTAACAACCGTGTTGTTACTACATAATATAGATTTTTTCAAGATATTATTTCTGAAAGTTAGATCATTTTTTTTTGCATATTCCATATTGACCAGTGTCACCGACGATATAAATTATTACTACCATTATTAATATTATGTTATTAATATGAGTGTTACTCTGCGTAAATATAGTACACCAACGCAGAATGTGTGCCACGTATTAATGCAATGAACTACAGTTTTACTATTGATGTATGTTTATATTATTTACTGTGAATATAAATATTTTTAATATTTTTAATTATTTTTGTTTTATTCAGGTTCTCGTCACACCTTTTAGATTTTATATGAATTATGTAAAAAATAAAATATTGACAAAATGGTCCGATCTTTTGACTAATTAAAAAGTTTTAACATGGCATTTTAATCGAAACTCTCTTTGACCACGAAACTTCAAACCAGATATAACAAAGACGACAAACGTCTATAAAAGTTTAAAGTGTATAAAAATTTAAGAAAATATCAATTGCTGATAAATCAGTCATCCATGCTTTTGCGAACCATTTAATATTTATTTCCATACAATTTTATACTCATAACTTTCTATCAATGAAAACACTTAAAAAGTGAATCGAGAAGTGAGACATAGTTTTATAGAAATTTACACTGCGAAATATATTTGAACTTCTTTAACTAGGGTATTAAACGTTTTATAAGAATGGTCAATTTTTTTTTTTGATTAACTACTGTAATATAAAATTAAATAAAAATAATTATAATTTATAAGTAATTATTACTCCCATATTATTATAATGTAATTTATTTATATTATAAATTTGAGTCTATGAAATTGAAAATAAAATCACAAATAACTTGAATTCCAAAGTTACTAAGCAATTATTAAAAATAATTAATTTTAACAGAATATGTGCAGTGTAACGTATATTTTTGAATTTTTACAGAGATAAATATTTTCAAAAGAATTATACAGACATGATGTTTATATGTGTTATAATCTAGTGCCACATATTTCTGAACTATTTTATGGATTATATTGGCCATTGTTCACTGGACTTATACCTTTCATCACTTCAAAACTAAACCTTTTTTTTAGAAAATTTTGATATTAAACGAATTGCAATATAATATGTATAATATTTGAATAGGTAAAACTATAAAAGTATAAATTCTTGTCGAAACTTGGCGTTTGATGACGTGTAAAACATTTTAGTTCAAAGTAAAACTGTAAATAAATTTTAACTAATAGAACCAAGAATTTGTAATCGCCAAACTACAATCAACCACACTAAGTATTTGTGCCTTAGCCCCACCAGTCTACTGATATACTGACAACTATAGATATCACATTATTATTTTTTACTTCTAAATAAAGTGAAAAATAAAATATTTTTGGTTTTGACAGTCACTTATAACTATTTGAATTTGTAATTCTAAAGTACATTTCATACTCAATAATAGTATATAATATTAACTTTTTCTAAAACGAAATTTTTGTTTTTAAATATAAATACAAGGTGGACATAAATTAATATTTTACAAACGGTTATATACATTTTTTTCAAAAAATAATTCAGATTTTTAAAAAAACTTGAGAAAGATTTCAGTAAAACGTTCCTACCAAAATAACACATCCCCTATTAATTTCACAAAATATTAGTTGATTTTTAGTTTAAACATTTAAAACTAAATACGCTTTTATCAATACCAAAAATTAACTCCAAAACTATTTCAGTACTATGATCGTGCAAATTAAAATTACTGTTCATAAAATAATTACAAAAAATAGTTTGCTTTACTTACAGTTTACGTCTAGATCGCCATACAGAAAAATCAAAGCAACAATAATCAAATTTCTGTTAAACATTTTTGATTGAAATAGTTCTCCACGACAATTTATTTCAACGTTTGTTTTCACTGCAGCCCTCGCCTGATTCGTTCGTTTCAAACGCCATTCTCGTGCGACGAGTTCCCCTAAAAGAAATAAATAAACACTAAAAATAAATTTTGTTTGAATATTTGAACTATGAAATATAGCTAAATACTTTTTGTTTTACTGTGTTGTTTTTTGACAATTTCCAACAAAAATGATTAAAACTTACATTTTAATATATATATATATGTACCTATATGTGTCCTAGTCATGCATATGGAATGTCCAAAATCGTTATTGGAAGTGTAACTAACAGTATTATATTACTATTTATATTTTTCCGTACGTACATATTTGTAAACAATCTCTACTCTCATGTAAAAAGTTGAATATCAAATAAAAAAAAAATGTACACAATATGAAAATATTGAATTGGTTTTTTCCACCACTGACCCAATTCATACATCGTTACAGTTTAATATAATATGACGTACTATTAAACGTTTTTTAAATAATTAAATTTGTATATTGTTATTGCGCTTTAATGTACAACCATCATAACGTACGTCTCATGGAACAAAATGATAGTGTTAACACGGTTACTTGTAAAGGTTAATTGTACGGGAAAAGTGAATAGTGTGATCCTACTCAAATGTTACCAGTGATAAATGTTTATCCCCGAAACGGACAGTTTTTATTTGGTTAGTAGGTATTATCGTTTTTCATTTGTGTATAATGATATTTCATAGATATAACTAATATAAATATATAACTATACTGATTTAATAAAGATAAATATTAAAATATATTGTATAGTGTATACACCACAACAGTGTTTCACACTTTCATCAAGAATGCCCATCCCTCTTTAAGAGCTAATCATGCAATTACTAAAATTATAGTTTTTAGAATCCATGCAATTTAATTATTATCTTGTGCTGATACGAGAATATTTTTTTAAATTAGATAATTTACTGTACATATTTAACCGGATGATTTTTGATTGATCGAAATTCAAACAAGAAGTTTCTAAATTATTAAACTTTATGTGAAAATAATAGTCTTTAATTATGATTTTACTTAAATATTTAAATACCTACAAAAATAAATATAGTATTTAATCTAGTACTTATTACACTATAAATACTTATTATAACATTTTAATAAAATCATTTTGATTTCAATCATTTTAAAATCATAGAAACCTCCATATCCTATTAACAAATTATACTATACATGGTACTTGAAGTTTAATGGCTCAGAATTTAAATCTAATGTCGATTAAAAGTACTAATATTTAAAAAAAAATTATCTCTTTTAATAACTTTCAGCAAAAAAGGGGATTCACGTTGAAAAAATAGTTTGCAACCCCGTCACAGGAAAATTTTTTAATGACATAAAAAATTTAAGTACCTATTTGAAAATATGATCCTAGACTTACTTAAAAATTCCAAAAATTATAATTTGAATAAATGTATAATCACAGAAACAAATGACTTGGAGAATCAACGTATATAACATCTTATATACTGACCTTGGCGTTCTGTACTATGTTTAATGCCTTTCAATCAATTTCTTGCACTTCCTATTATTATAAATTTGGTCATAACCCTATTAGATACGATATAATATGACTATATTTAAGTGGCTATCAATTCATTAAAAAAGTCTGGGGAATTTCCACTCGGTAATAGTGTACGTTGATAAATTACACAAACCCATATAAATGTGCCATAATTGTCGTAGCTACCTATAATAAGGAAACACTTTAAGCTGATAATATTTTCGATGAATGTCACACGATTTATCGCATTTTATTATTTGCATTGTGTCCATTGTGTGGCCGGTGTACATTGATTGATATGACGTAGTAATCAAATCTGTATTGAGTTTACGTTTTTAGATAAAACGGCTGAAAGTTATCGTGAAAAAATACTTCATATTAAAGGGGCAATTATTCATTACAACAACAAGTTGATTTTATTTTATTTCTAGACATTTATGTTCATTAGCTATAATCACTAGCCCGCCAATATCGGTTTGCCCACGGTAAAATACCGTTTATCATTATATAACAATAGCCGGCAGCGGATAAAACATAATATTATACCACCACCATAACAATATGGTATATTGACCGACCGCCTCCTACATTGACGGGGCACAGAAATAAATTAAGCTACGCGTGGTCATTGATCGGTTATCGACGCTCATAATATTACGTACATAAAAAATTAAACGGTTTATTTTCGGGAAAGTTGCTCTGTACATTTACACACACACACACGCACACACACACAGACATTATGTAGTCATCGATTAGTATTTTATTTTATTAGAAAAAAATAAAAAACCATTATATAATAGAATATTATCCTTAACTCGGCTATAGTGGTATACCTACTATATTATCACGATCATATACCTGCAAACTACTTTTTCGGCAACAAATCGTGTAATATACCAATTATTAATATCTAAGTACACGTATATTTTTACAGGCAATCTTTTATTTAGACTATTTTTGAACTTGATGTAAACACTATAAACTAATTTTAGAACAATAAATAATTAAATATAATTTTAAAAAACGTATGTCTGTACATTTTAATTCTCGAAGAAGATGTAAACTTTGTTTACACATATATAGTTCGTTATAATATTTTAATTTATTATTCAAATATCCTGAGCACTTATATTTTTCGTTTCTTTTAAAGAAAATTTGCATAATTTTAGAATCAATAGTTAACACTCAAATACTAGGTTAAAGGTTAGTTCCCAAATATCGAGTAGTTTGTAATTTACTGTACGTCATAACGCTTACGCATAAACACTATTCACGTGTTATCAACAATTTACAAAGAGTTAAACTTTTGATTTTTTTTTAAATATCTGTTTATAATTTAATTTCAACGTTTTAAAATAATATAATCAATCAATACAGTTGTTAGATTCTCAGAGGAGCGAGAAATGTTTTGAATTTACAATGATGTGTGTTTTTTATCTGTGTATTTGTCATCACCTGGACACCTTATGTAGTAACAATTATATTGATACAATATTTAAACGAAGAATAACGGTTTTAGTTATATTGTTGTAATTCATTGGAAGGTACTTGGAAATTTCAAAATATATTATTATATTATATAAGTACACACAATGAAAGTTACAAATGCATTTTTTTTCATCAAAAAATAATTCAACCTACTGCATTACGTGTAAATGATTTTCATTATAAAATATTTTAAAGAAATTATTTTAAGAATTTTGGGCTGTACTTATATTTTACTGAGAACAATAATAAGGTATTAAAATATTTCTAGCCCCTTTATAGTGCAACTAAAATATGTGCCCACTATAATTGGCTGGATGGTTATAATATTATATTTTCAGTAATTTAATATGATATAGTATAGTTCAATTTTCTAATTGATGCATAATGAAATGATATGAATGAACTCTTCAATAATTATACCAGAAGTTCGTAACTATTGGGTGCTGAATGAGATAACAACATTCGAATTAATCCGGTAAGCAACAGGTCGTTCTTAAAGTAAAGTCATTGTACACAGTCAATCTCCGATCCTTGTCTCTCGCCCCTCCGCACACGTAAGAACTAATTCTTTTACTATTCTAACTATTCTAATTCTGTCAGAGTTTTAAACATTAAAGTGCATGCGTTTTTGATTTTAATGTTTTATAAGAGACTGATCAAGTTAAATACATATTAAAACAATCAACCATACTGCACAAAAAAAGTATTATTTATCAATGTGGCACAAGTAAAAATAATTTCCATGTACATTGGTGACAAGATGGTAATATAAAAATTACATTCTGTAGGGTCTTCGAGAGAAAAATTCACTGTAAACAACAAGAAACTTGGCATGAAAAACAACAAGAAAAACTACGGTTGTAGCTCAATTGCCGAGATCATATTTCCTTTAACCGAAGTCTGAAGCTTAGAAAAACAACCGTGTTCGTATGATACGATGCTTTCGTAATATTTCAAAACAATTGTAAGAATGACGTCTTTTTCTCTACGCTACACTAATACACTACAACTGGATATTTCTGTTCAGTCAAATTTAATACCTCCCCCCTTTCCATACTGCAATATGTCTTGTGTATACTGTAAGGCTACACTAACCGATTTCGGCAATGAACTCCTGTAATGGGACGGGGAAAAAAATGTATCATATTCCAAAACTGTTAGGATAGGTCGTGTACTACAACGGTGTGTGATTTCCACAATATTTGTACGAGACAGGCCAGGTGGGTTTTTGAATTAACGGTATTATAACGACACGAAAGAAATACTTAATATAGTGATTTCGACTAAATGTGGTTACTGGTTATTTATAAACAAACCACTTATATAAAAAAAATTAATGAAAACACCTAATTAATATGTTTCAATGTTTGCCAATGTGAAACAGTCCATTTATTAGAATCGCTAAATTATACAGAATATTAGTCATATTTATAGCTTTAAAAATCAAAATTAGAGCTAATTACAATCATAACATAAAATGGTGGTAAAATCTTACTTTTACAGAAAATAAATTGTCTAAGTTGTTTAAGTATAATCAAATACATTTTATCGTCTCATTTTTTTTCAGTAACAAAATATTAGTTTCAATAAATATGTAAGAATAATAATAAAATATGTATTCAAAAAATATTTCCTATGGAATAAATACTAATTAATAGAATAAAAATGACCCGTACCTATGTGATTTATTTAAGCAGAATAACTTATGTATAATACTTGCTTAATATAGAATAGTAGCGTGTCCATGTAGTGTTCATTCTATCAATAATTGATAGGCATACATGATAAATCCATCTAAAGGATTTGTGATTTTGGGTCATTAGGCCATATGAAAACCGACCAGTTGAATTAATTAAGAGGGCGTAACACAATTTACGCTCAGCAGATCACGTGTATCTTCGGTAGTTTAAAAATTAGAGTGAATCGACCCATTATGAAACTTGATGGTAAGAATATTTAATGTGTCATAAGTTGGTTTTTTACGATTGTTGAATTTTTAAGTGAGTTATGAGCATTTTTAATACGTAGAACTTGTCAAAAAATCAA